AATAATCATGGCTTTTGAGCCGCTTGATATGGAAACCTAACTTATGAAATGGACTGTATACCATCACTTAATTTCTAGTGTGAACAAATGTGATAATATGAATACTGTAATACTGACTGACTTCAGTAAGGCATTTGATACCATTGACCTTAAAGTAGCCATAAATAGACTTCTTAAACTTGGGGTCTCCCCAGCCTTCATTAAGCGGATTGTTAGTTTCCTTGTAAACGGAATGTAAGCAAAGGGTCAGATATAAGCAGTCTTTTTTTCTGATTGGCAAACTCTCTGGGGGAGTTCCCCAAGGTACCAAACTTGGTCCATTAATTTCTTATGTTTGCATAAACAATGCTCTTGAATCGTGCCATAATACATGTAGTTGTTGGAAATATGTGGACGATTTGACTCTGAGTAAAAACCGTTTGTTTAGTAATGAGAGCTGCCTGCAACTTGATCTCAACCAATTTTATGACTGGTCAAAGAGTAGTGGGTTTTCTCTAAACCCTACTAAATGTCAAATATTACTGGTATATTTTGGCAGGAAAAACCAACCTGAGACTTATTATTCAATCGCTGTTGTTCAATTACCAAATGTTTCTAGAACCACTTTTAGGGATCTTTCTTCAGAGCAATCTAAAATGGGATGGCCACATAACTGATATTGTCAGTAAGATTAATTATAAACTCTTTATATACTTCACAAACTCAAACTTGCTAGATTAACTAAAGATGAGTTGGTTACTGTGTATAAGAGTTTATGTCCGACCAATAATGGAATATATTCTGTCCCCGTCTGGCATTCATCATTGATAGTAGCACAGTCTTACCAGCTGGAATCAATCCAAAGATGCATTTGTGGCATAATACTTGGTAGAAACTATTGTAATTATGAACAGGCCTTGGTTTTTTGAGTGAAAGAAGGAAACACTTGTGTTCTAAATTATCATTCGAACAAGTTTTCTGTCTGGTTCCAAAAATCTAGTATACGTGTACGCCATGCCATGACTTTAACATCGGCTTGACAACCATCAAGGCTCTACAAATAGATTTGAAAATAGTCCCATCCCATACTTGACCAGATTGTTGAATGATGTATCCAATCTGTATTTTTAAATAATAATAATGCAAATTACTGAAAATGGGTCACTTGGGAGACACTCCCATAGGAACGTGCACAAAATCTTTCAAACTTTACCATCCCATAATTCAATATTCCCTAATCTGATCTTAACCAAACGTTGCATGTTTCTCTCTCAGACCCTAATCATCTATTAAAATGTGGACATTAAAAATTTTCCTCCTTTTGATAGTTGGAGCATTAGGGAGACATTGAAATGACCGATGTCTCCCTAATGTTGAAAAATTTACCACAAAATGTCTCCCAAGTGACCTATTTGGAAATATAATGTAACGACAAAATGTTCTTTTCCAGTGGCTACAATATATGTATTTATTCATTCATAATGTATATTAAGAAAGGGTCGGTTACAGTAGCTACAAAGAAACAAAGAAGAAGGAAGAAAAATCCAAAGTAAATCACAAAATCAAATCAAAGTGATGCATGTAATTAAAAGGGAAACAGCTAATATTCTGTTATGAATATGTTAATCAAATATAACAATGCCCTGGCATATTAAGAAGCAATCCCCTTTTAAATATTGGGATGAACTCGCAGAGCTGTGAATCATGGATCTTACCACAGAAATGCATTGCTATAATAGGTATATGTGCAGGATGCATGATTCCTGCAAACGGGGAAAAATGGCATACTAAGGGGGAACTCGCAAAAACAACCAAAACCAAAAGCCCTGTAACTAAACCAGTGATAAATGTCGCGGGATACTGGATTAATAGGGCCTCACACACCAATATTTGACTTCAGAAGAAAAGGACTAAAGGAATTTATGAATTAAACGTACCAATAAATGGAAAAATCAAAATGGTTAAGAGAGATCCACAAGGCAGGAAATCCAGGGAGGCCCTTTGTTTCTGGTAATGGATCGCCCACTGAGCACATTGTTCATTGACACTTTTCTGAAACCCCTTGTTCCACAGACCCCATCATATATCCACGACATGCCAGATTTCCTTTGTAAGCTGGAAGACATCAAGAACCAGATTCCCAGCGAAGCCATCATTGGCACCATTGATGTTTCTTCTCTCTATACCAACATTCCCCATGAAGAAGGTATTCGTGCCTGCTGTTCTGCTCTCATGAAGAGCGGACACACAACTCCCCCCATCAGTGATGTCGCGACACTTATGAAACTTGTACAAACCAAGAAGAATATTTCTCCTTCATGGGCAAACACTATCTACAGGTACATACCAATAGCATGGCTATGGGCACCCGTATGGCTCCCTCCTTTGCTTGCCTCTTCATGGGTAACCTTGAAGAGCACATGCTTACTTCAGCACCATGCCGCCCTTAGATCTGGTGGAGATACATTGATGGTGTATTTTTCATCTGGACCAGTGACAGTGGCAGTCTAGCATCTGCATTAACCATATCAATTCTTTCCACAGGACAATTAAGTTCACTTCGAAATATTCCCTCCATCAGGCAAACTTTCTTGATGTAAGTATCCGGAAGGAGAACAACCTCGTGACTACTGACCTGTATTCCAAGCCCACAGATACCCATCAGTATCTTCACTCATCCAGTTGTCACCCAAGACATAGCAAGACTGGTATACAGCCAAGCACTCGGGCTGAGATTTCTCCCGTCATACACAGGAACTGAAGAGGCATTTGAATGCAATGGGGCACAGCTATCACCAGGTTCAATGCTCTAGCAATAGGGCCCGCTCCGTCCCTAGAAGTCTTGCACTCAAGGAGAAGACCCCCCCCCGTGAAGAAACAGTCCCCAGGGTTCCCTTGGTCACCACTTTTCATCCTTGTCTTCCTCCCCTCCGCAAAATAATCTACGACAATCATCATATCCTGCACACTTCAGACCGCTTAGCTAGTGCCATCCCAGACACCCACTTGTGGCCTACAGGCATCCCCGCAACCTCCTGGACCTTATCATTTGGGCAGAGGTGCCCCCTTGGATACTTCACCCCCCTTTCAGCAAGACATGTTCAAGTTTGATTCTAACAGATGTGTTGTTTGCAAGAACCATGTCCTGGAATCAGATATTCTTGGGACACTCCTCGGGTACCACCCACAGAACCAAAGGCACTATCACGTGTACATGTACATGTAACTCTTCTAATGTCATACATTTTATCTCTTGCAGGGTGTGCAGTATTCAGTATGTTGGAGAGACTAAGAACACTCTCAAGAAGCGTTTCTATCAGGCCACATATATCTACGGTCAACACCAAATGACTAGATACCTCTGTAGGCCACCACCTCGACCTTCATAACCGTTCTGTGTCTAACATGATATTACAGGGCACAGAATCACTTGTTACCGTAAAGATGCTGTTCGCTTCAACAGGGAGAAGCTTTGGATCAAACGCCTCCGCACCATACAACACTATGGCCCGAACATCCAAGAGGGAAACTAGTAATTAACACTCTTTTCTTTCCCTCTCTTTTGTCTGCAGATAATACCCCCTCCCACTTTGGGTCCAGTTCCATCCATGGTACTTCTTCTTTAATCTCTTCCCACCTTACATTCCTTTGTTGTTCAACCATGCCTTTCTTACAATCCCTTCATCCCTTGCCCCTTTATCCAGCCTGCAGCTTTCTTGACCTTTCCTTTTGTCCTCTTGCAATCATCCATGCTTACTTGATTCTCTGTTTGCTTTTCGTCCTGTCCACTTGTCATTTTGCCTTTGACAAAGATTCAGCTAGGATCAAAACGTCATGCCCGCCATATTCTGAGATTTGTACTTTAGGTCAATGTAGTCGGCAAGCACTTTGTGGCAGTTTTATATCTTTTGAAAACGGTTAAAAGACTGAAAAGACTAAACACCAAAGACTAAAACTTTGAAAGGACTAAACCAACACATGTACAGTATGTCAAATGAGGTCTAGTGAGTATGCACTCACGCTTCAATCTGTAAAAAAAAAGAAAAGAAAGTAAATGACATAAGAATCAAAAACAAAATCTCTTTGTACGTGTTCTACATGTACATAGTCTTAGAAGTAAGTGCAGGGATTAATGTGTCAGAAACTAAAACTGTTCACTGGTCTATGGAGCTCATTAAGTATTCAAATCCCCTGGCATTTCCAAATAAACAATCAAATGAGGAAGAGAAAACAAAGAAAGGCATGTTCTGAGGCAAGTGGATGGAAGTACTTATACATCACTAATATGCTGAGGCCAAAACCAGAGTAGAAGATCCGAGAAAATTACAAAAATATAGAGATCTAAAAGTTATACATAAGTGATATACATGTGCGCGCTGACAGTGTAAGGGTCGGTGACCATTTAGACCCGGTTTGAAAAGGGTCCCCCGGTAGCCCGCCCGTGTAATGCCTGCCCGGTATTCAGGCTACTCCAGGCTGGTATCAGGCCTGTCTGCACATCATTTCAAAGTCCCTGATGAAAGGCTTCCCCCACCATGCTTCCACAGATGAATAGCTAAGGGTCTAAGCGGATAAGTGTAAACATTGTATAGAGCTGAAGGATTAAAAACCGTAAGCAGGTTCCTTCTGGGATAGATTACATGTACCAGTACTTGCAAACAATAGACCCGAGGATGGAGAAGTTTGAGATCAACAACCAGTCCAGCATCCCAGGCCGGTAGCCAGGCCGGTATGAAAGGGGTTTTTGCAACAGGGCGAGCTTACCGGGGGGGGGGCCTTTTCAAACCGGGTCAAAATGGTCACCGGCCCTAAGTCTTCTTTGCATCAAAACTTGACAAAGATATTCATTAACACTCAAGGAAAACTTCAGTGAATCAGGAAACTAATTCTGAGAGAAAAAGATGGACAAAACTTGGCAAAAAAGTTTAGAAACTGGATAACTGATTAACTTTATACATGTACATGAATAAATTTAGAAACAATCTGAAATAATTGTACATTAAAATGATTTTCCTTCACAGCTGATCGAATGAAGCATGGACATTTTCCTTTTCAAGATAAAGATGTCAGTATTGTTGAAAGTCTAGCAAAGGTTATTCAGCAACTGGTAAGTAAAGGAACTGTTTTTGATAAATTGTTATCTTTATCAGTGGTTTGGTTCTCCAGTATGGTTTTATAATCTTTACAAGACCTTTGGAAGGTATAGGCTTTTGGGTACACCATGGAATAAATCAGTTTGGGTATAGCAGACCCTAGTGTCTTGGGAAGGTGCTTGGAAAGGTTGATGTGCTTGTGGTAGCCGTTCATGTGGAGGGTGGACTTGATGTGCTGGAGTTTTTGGCATATAGGTTGTTGTGGTTGCAGATCTTGTAGGCACTGCGGACGAGGGTGCAGTTGGCTGAGGTCTTGATGGCTGGGTGGTGGAAGGATCTCTGGTGCAGGTACCGATTGGCGTGGGTGGGCTTACGGTGGATACGGTGGATGAGGGTGCCGTCTGGGCTCCTGGACAGGTGGACATCTAAGAAGGAGAGGTGTCTGTCTTGTTCTTGCTCCATGGTGAACTTGATAGTGGGGTGTTGCTGGTTGAGGTACTTGAGGAATTCTTGGAGGTGATCTTGACTACGGGGCCGTATGATGAATGTGTTGCCAACTTAGTGCAGCCAAATGATGGGTTTGAGGTTAGCGGTGAGGAGAGATGATGTTTCAAATTCTTCCATGAAGATGTTAGTTAGGACGGGGAGACATTTATCCCATGGTGTACCTGCAAGCCTATATCTCATGTCACTTCCACCGTGCAAAGCGGCAAGTCTTATTTTACAATGTACATGTACTTGTGCACCCTATAAAAATGCAATACCTCAAATATACTACTTAGCCATACAAAGCTTCCAACAACACCTGTTTGTTCTTTACTAGTTGTTTTCTATCGTGGTCTTTTTTACTTAAAAAGAATAATTTTCTAAAGGTCTGTTGGATACTTGTAGATATGTACTTGTATGATTTTGTATTAATATGTTTACCCTTTGCTTTGAAGTAGATTTCAATGTTTCTTTATGTCAGGATGAAGAGCGCAAAAAAGTACACTCATTTCTTGAGACAGAGACCATCAATTCCAGTATACTGAGACATCAGTTGCAGTTTTTCCCTGGTAGTGTGTACAGTGAAATTAGCTTTGCGGTTCAATCAGCTCGGCAATCTAATGCTGATGAACTGAATGTATTGCAGGTAAGTGTCTTTGTGCATTCTTTGAAATGTAAAATATAAGTTCTTGTCAGCCATGTCCTGTGTAAACATCCAGTTGAAATGAAAGGAAGTATACATGTGGAATAATTGTACATCTATGGTACGGCTTAAAATAAATGAAACACGGTACAGATAATTCCTCATATTGAGATGTGTGCTTTGCAGATTATGCATGGTACTGGACTGATGGGAATTATTATAGCAAAAGAATATAAAACCGCAAACCTTGCCCAGCAATGGACAGCCATTACCAATTCTTTATTGTCACTTTGCACAATGTGTTTGCTGAACTTCTAATAATCGGAGTTGAAATTTATTTTCATATGACACTACTAAATTACTATTGCTTTTTAGCATCTATCTCCATGGTATGCAACATGTCATATTCTCTCACAATATCTGTTACCTCTGCTGTGCTGATGATATTTCGCTCTTTATATCATTTGAACCAAATCAGGATAATGCTCTGTTAACCCTCCAAAGTTGGAGTCATGTTTGTTGATGTGAGTATATGGATGCGCTGAAATTCATTTCGATTCTAAAATCAGAATTCATATTGTTTGGTTCAGAATCTCAACTTGCCAAGAACAACACTGATGGTATTCAAAGCAATGATTTCTCTGTTCATTCATCCACTGCCTGTAGAAATCTAGGGATAACCTTTGACTCAGGTATGACAGTGTTGTCACAGTTAAGCACTGGACAGCCAGGATGATGTACACACAATTGAGGACATCAAAACACATTATTCTGTTTGTATGAATTCTTATTTATAAATATTCCAAACTTAAAATATAACATAAAAGTAATGGTTTCAACAATCAAACTTCCAGATTAGAAAATGTTTCAGTAAACATTCAATATCTGCTGACCCCAAATATCTAAAATTTGACAGGACATATTCCCGTTTGTACTGAATGCTGGACAGTTACCGCCAGATGTTAGTCTCAAGCAATCAAAATCCCCCAAAGATTTGAATGTTTAAAATTATATCACCTTTGATCTTTCTTATCGACAATTTGAAAAAATCAGCAATGACTTCAACACAAAATGTCTATAGTTTTCACGATGCCTAGCATAATAAATACTAGAGGTTTCTGGTCTTTACAAAGTTACAGTTACAGTTAGTGTACTAGAACAAACAAAACAAACAAAATTTAAACAGAACCGCAATTATCAAAGTGATAGGTAGCTCCGACCGGTCCTTGGCAAACCAGATTTTGAGTTATCAGGTAGCCTGCGATCAGTCTCTATAGTAGTTCTGCTTTGGTCGTCACTCCGTCCAGACTTGCAAACTCATGTAGTCACAGGGTGTCTTGTTAGTCTCAAATTGATGGCCATCTAAACATTAAGATATATAAATGACCAAAAACCTACTAATATTGTTTCACTGTTACAAGTTCTTAGTTTGGCATTCTCAAGGACAAAATGGTAGCTAACATCTGCCTCATAGGAATTTGCAAACATCGATAAACTTCCTCTATCATTCGAGTTAACTGGATCATCAAAATCTGAACTTTGACTTGTTCGTAACTCTTAAATACACCCTAGTGGTGTTCTGCTTCTGAGGCAACGCCCACTCTAATATATGCCAGCCTACAGACAAAGCATGCCCTGCATCCTACTATACATTGTCTAGCCCACTGGAGTCCCATATTCACAACAGTCTACCTAGATTAACTATGGCCTTACTAATCCTTAGGTGCACTGAATGAAAGGAGGGAAATTCTTCAACTACTGGCTTTCCACACCTGAATCTAAATAACAGTTGGGGAGAAAATGACTGAAATACTTTACTGTACAGACACACCAAAATAAAGATGCCAGAATTCAAGAGAAGAAAAGTTTAAAAGGGGGAAAAATCTACTCATTACAAATGCCTCGTCATGTTTCCAGTGTTTTTCAATCCATCTGATTTCAATTTCATAACTTAGGCATCATTTGCAAGTACTTGACCTGCTCGGCAACAGAAAAACTGGTCCATGCCCTAATCTTGTCTCGTTTGGAATTTTTTAATTCCTTGGTCTACGGCACTCTACCTACCCAATCAGTCGCTACATATGCAAATTTCCCATGCGGGTGTTATTTTTTTGCTGAAAAGATTGATCACCTGTGGTGCACCCTGACCTCCCGCAAAGCAACGCTGCCTTGCCACCATGATTGCCCTTCTTTTCTCAGCACCATAATGTAACGGATGTGTCTTTCTTGGCATCTTCGATTTATCGAGCTTTCATTTTCACTACTCAGTTCAGTGTTGATTTAATTACCTCTACTTCCTTTTTAAATAAAGTACAACCTGGATTTTATCCATTTATTGGTAAGAGTATTGTTTTCTTGTATATTTTTGTGTTCTTTCTTTAGTTTTCTTGTATGTGCACCCTGCAGGTGTTTACTGTTGTTCCAGCTACGCTGTGTCTACCCTACCAATGAATTATAGGCTTAATTGAATAATTTGGCTTAATTGGCTTAATTATAGGCAATAGAATTCAGGGGGTCACTGTCAGGATCTGTCATACTCCCCTGTCTTCTCCGGTTACCAGGACGAGAAAAAGGCTCAGCTGTTGCCAGGGGGTTCTAGCCAGGATCTGGCCAGGCCCCTGGCTCGTAGGGCCCCACGGAGCTGACGAGGAAGCTCCATGGTAGACTGTGGAAGACCAGGGAGCAGGGACACGGCCAGGATCTGGCAAGGACCCTGTCTCCTTGGTCAATTGCTGGCGATGCTGAAGAGTACCACCCGCCATTCAACATCGGCCTAGAACACCACCACCACCACTCGTTCAGATACCGAAATCACTGGGCCGGGCTCCCCGAGAATGCCGGGCCCGCCCAACTGGTTATTTGTTCCAATATTCTTACAAAAAGCAAACTGATCAGGGGATCACAAATGTGTTTGTTCCAAATACTGTTATAGATGGGCTGATATCAAGTGTTCATGAACCTTCAAAAGTATAGATGTGATTGAGATTGGTCAAAAGCTGGTGAGATTTGGTGAGAGACGCCCTTTGGGAATGGGAGTGATATTGGCAACTCTCCAGCATACATAGAAAGACCGAGATCGGATGAAGTACCTATATACTGCAGATAGCTTAGGTGCCAACATTGCTGACATTTCCCTGAAAAAAAGTGGGAACATGCCAAGAGGATCAGTACCACCATGAGGATCAAGGGCACAGGGAAGTTTTTCAACTTGTCTGGCTCTGAAAGCTATTATGGTCATAGATTGAACTGTATCTACATCCTCATCAAGCGGCAGCATGTCCCAACTAAGCTTTGAGTCAAAGTGTGACCTCAGGAGATCAGCTTTACCCTTTGGATTACTTATGAGCTCACCACCTGCAGAAAGCAGGGGTGGAAGTGAAGGTTGAAAGCCAAACACCACTGATTTTAAAGTAGACCACCATTTGTGTGGGTCAGGGGTTGCTGACAATTTGCCCCTAACAGCAATGAGATATTCATTATTGGCACGATGATATGTTCTCTCAGTCAAATTCCTTGCACGCACATACTCCTCCCAGGATTCTCTTGAGCGCAGCCATAGCCAACTATGATATGCAGTTTGGCGTCATGAGCAGATCTACACTCTGCAGAGAACCAACCTTTATCATGAGAGTGATAATACACTGTTTGATGGGAACTCTATGTGAGATGATATCCTTTAATCGGTCAATTAGGACACTCATTGGATCAGCCCTTTTAAGGATAGGTCCAATGCGAATCGCGGACACCTCTTCTCAAACCAAATTCCAATTCACACGGCCCTTCGTGAAGACAGCTTTAGTGAATGAGTCTTCCTCAAGTATAATTTCTTACCAGCAGTTGAGTGATCCAACATACCCAGAGGCACATGAACTTCCAATTCGACAATATCAGGAATGTCTGAAAAGACTAAATCAAGGCAATTGCCAGACAGATAAGTTGGATGTGAAACCAATTGAGAACAGCCAGAAACAGGAGCAAAGTCCAGTGCAGCACGACCGTTAATGTCTGTCAGAAACACAGAAGCAAGCCACTCACAATAATGAGCATTGAGGTCATCAACAAAGACGAATACGGCCTTGCGATCATCTTGCTGCATAGCGGACATGGAAGTCAACAAACAACCATAAATAGAGTCCTTACCAATGGGATTCCTGTATGCACCAAAAATAAAAAAAATTTAGAAACTGCACACAGACGAACCACAAAAATTTGTGACAATCGCACTCGTAGGTGGCCTTCCTATGCACCGAAAATCCTTCATGAATGTAGACAGACATGCTACGATGACGACTAGAATTTCTGCGAATATTGAAAGTGACGGCTGACTAAACCCAGGAGTTCTCAATTCAGCATCATAACGAAAGTCGGAAACAAGAGTTTTTGTGCAAATAATGATGTCATAATGTTGTGAAGTTGCATTAAGATCATTAAGATTTTTGTGAAGACCTCTGATATTCCAAAAAAGAACTCTGCTGGTGTGGCATGGTCCAACTGGACCTGGATTCAGCTCAATGTCTCCACAACAGATCAATAAGTAAAATAAGTGGCCATATACAGAAAGTCAATCCAACAAAAAGGAACACAATTAGCAAACTAACAATTAATGTCATCCTATTGGGCATTTGACCTAGAAGAGGTGGCTCAAGCTCTCCAAAGGTGACAGGCAGGAGAGGAACCTATTGGCAAGGGCTGCCTTGCTTTAATAGGTGGGAGTTACCTCTCAGTGGATCTACGATGACCCTCCCACCTTCATTACCCACACATAGCAACCAGGCCCACTGCCATTGACCCAGTCTTATAACTGGATCGTGGGTAATAGCTGCATTACAATGGCCACAAGCCAAGATAGGCAGCTTCACCTTAAGAAACGAAATGTGAAGGAAAGAATAATGACCAACCAAATTGAGGGAAGGAGACATGGAGAATCACCCAGACAAACAGCGTCTAGTCCGAAGGCCCAGAAAGCTGGCCACTTCCCAGCAACTTAAGGGCCCGGGCCCTGC